GTAAAGCATTTAATGAAACATGTATAACACGTGCATTATTATCATTAAGACATATAATCTTGAACTATCTTGTGAATCAGTTGATATAAGTGAACATTAATTAATAAAAGAATTATTAAATAAATTTGATAATAATGATAGTGTTAAAAGATGATTTGTTGTTTTAATTAATGTAACAAGTAAATTTGCACATGCACCACGTAAATGTAGATCACCGTATTCACATAAAGATAAAAGATATGTAATATCTTAAAGAAAAGAAAAAAAAGATAGCTTGATGTTCGATAAATTTTAATGTATTACAAGTCATATAGAGATGAGAATTTCATTTTTCTCATTAGGAAATTTCATATCAGTTACAAAATTTTTATTTAATCAGAAATCTTCAAAGACTAAAGAAAAACTCCTTAGAGGATACAATTGATTTCATATCTCGAACTTCGGCTTAAAACGTTTTTGAGGTAGTTGTGTGATTGTATAATTTCAATCTCTGATGTATAAATGCAGGCTTTGAGCTTCAATAAAGTGTTCTACTTGATATCTTTTCGAGTCTGATAATGTTCTAGTCTTTAGTTGATTCCGAAAAAATTAAAAATAGGAATAGGGCTAGAGCTGCTGAATCAATATCGAGAAATCTCCATTCTTGAATTTTCAGATTCCAATATATATATGTTTTATATCATTTTGGTTCAAAAATTTAATAGTGGAATTGTCATATCTATTAGATAACTTTCACTAAAACTTTGAGACCTTAACCAATTGAAGCCACGTCAACTAAACTCTGCCACAATCCCCTTCACCTATACCTCCTACTGTTACGATATTAGAAATAATTTTGGATTATAAAAAAAAGTCAAACAAGAATTAAACATACTTTTAGTAAGATAAACAAATGGATCAAATTGTTTATAAATACGATAGACATATTGGTATAGCACTTTTAACACTAATACATGATTCATCATCACTTTTTATCGTACATCCATATTGAATATATATCTAATCGGAAAAAAAATATAATTGATGAACAAGTTTAGCAGCTGATGTTCGTTTTTTATTATTAATCATTGATGGTGAATCGAGTTCATCATTCATTTCAATAAATCAACGTTGATATGTTGAATAAGCTATTGTTTTAGCAAAAAAAAAAAACAAATAAAAAAATTCCTTTTTTTTCTCAATATTTACCTGTTTGTAATGCTTGACTAACACAAGTTTTTTTCTATAGATCCAATTTGAATTGAAATTAATAGTTGATCAAAATCAAATAAATTTGAATAACGAAGTAATTGAATAATTTTTTAAATTAAATATGTACTAGCATTTTGATTTTGATGTTCAAGTAATTGATCTATTAAAATAAAAGACAATTATAATGCATTGAAATTATTATTTGAAGGAAAACTTACCAATTACATTTGCCATTAGAAAACGTGCCATAACCATGGGATAACATATTTGCCGAATAGGACATGAGATGTTCCTAAGAATAATTTAGTCATTCATTATATATTTCAAAAGAAAATTATTTATTGTTAATATTAGGAAAAGAAAAATTCGTTCTCACTAGACTTCATACTTTAACTATCACGATAGCCAGTGAACTCCTATGACGAAACCATTCTTAAGTTGCATGAAACTCTACGCTCGATTACTTTCGAGAGCAGATCGCTTCAAATGATAGACAGTTTCTCAGTTCGTATTTCGTCAAATAGTATCAGACTGCCTATTCTACATTTTCTGAAAAACATCCTCTCCTGCTAGAAATTTTAACCGAAACATGGTAGAGCAATCCTTTTCTATGTTTCTATTCAACCGTATGACATTTTTCTGATTACTTCTTTAAAAGACTTGTCTTAGATGACAAAGATTTTTGTTTTAATTACTTTAATTTCTTTATCATTAATCGGTCGACCAAGACTACGAAAAATAAGTTCATAATATTCTGATAAAATGGTTGAATCTTTTTGGAATGTATTACATTTGCTAATTCGGCAAATCACCACAACACCTAATCGAAATTTAAAAAAATCCTTATTATTAATTTAAGTCAAATAATCAAAATAACCTTTTAAAGCATTTGGCCCAACATTAGGATTATGTTTTATAGTTCGATATAATTCAACCGGAATTCTTGTTAAATCTGCTTCTTTTAAATTCTATTTTATAATTCATACAAAATTATACAAAAAAAAATAATTTCTTTTATAATGCTTTAACAAATTTATTAAGATTTTCTTCAGCAGTCAATTGTACATTATAATCATTTTCATCACATGTTGTAAATAATGTGTCCACGCTAGCTTTAATTAATTTAAAATAATTTCCTTGTTATCTCTAGATGAGAAAAGCATTCTATAAGAGATAGAAACAAAATGAAAAACAGAAAAAGATCCAATTATTTATAGTCAGTGGACAAATCAGGATGAGTCATCGAATCAATAACAAATTTTGAACACACTAATGCACTTAGTAGTGCATCATTTGTGCCAATTTTTAGAAGGTTTTTCTTGATATCATTTTGTTCCTAAAAATAAACTAGATCTTTTAGTGTAATCAGATTTTTCGGCCTAAGAGCCGTTTCCGAGAAAATCGAATTTTTTTGTAGACCAATCGTGAGCTTGAGACACTCAGCCAATGAGAAATGTGATAAAGGCACCATTATTTTATGCCGTCTGTAACTATCCATCATTCACGCGCGAACAAAGACACTGATGCCATCGCCGGTGATACATTGTGTATTATGTGATCGACGGGAAAGAATAGCTCGTTCAAAATTGACTATCATTACCACTGTTGAACGAGAACAAAAAGTTTATGAAGGATATAAAAAACGTTTTGGTCAACCACTGAATTATTCATTACTTAATAAAACTGTTCATACATCATGTTACAAAACAATTACAGTACGTTTAAAATCATTATCTAATAGAAGTATAACTAGTCCACATAGATGTATTCCATATGATAACTGCTGCATATCGATGTTAACAAATGAATCGTCACATGAATGTTCATCTATCGCTATTGAACGAAATTCTTTTGATTTACATGAACCAGTTGATGTTAATGAAAATTTAAAGATTGACTTGCCAATGGTTGATAATAGTTGTGTTCTCTCATCGAATGGCGAGGTAAGATGTATTATAATCTTTTCTTCATCAATACATATGCATGATATACTTGATTTATAGAACGATGATTTGTTTTCATCAAATCAGTATACACACTCTTTTGATACTTCCAATGAATTACATAATCGACAACCGTTTATTGATCGAACAAACGAAGATGTATCTTTATCACCTCCAGATATTAACTACTGCTCAACAATAGCGATTGGTTTTACGTCTTCACAATTAAATAATGAGAGTGTGGTTCAAAACGGAACAATTAATGGAAATAAAAAAACATTTAACATGGATTTGGCAACGAATACATCGGTAATTTAAGTAATACAAACTTTCACATATTGTTGTTATTTTTCTAGAGCGAGCAGTCGAAATATTTTATTGATCATAGTAATTCAAATAATAACGATGTGCATATATGTCCAGTAACCGTTCTGACACCAGAGAGAAGTGAACCAATGGATTCTACTCATTATGAAAGCAACAACTTCCAACAAAATTGTATACATGTTTGTTCACTATATCTTATTATGATTCAAATGATTCAATTAAACTTTTTTTTTAGCTTGATACTTCAACAACATCTTCGTCAAATACTTCAACAATTAATTATACAAGTGAAAGATGTATCACATCTACTGCTTCATGTCCACATGGCCGTTTTAAGAGGAAGCTAAAAAAAAAAGTAGTAAAACAAGTAAGTTGAAAAAAATTGTTGGTCGAAAATGTTGATGAAGTATTTTGTGTTAGATACAACGTGAACAAAATTATAACGTCTCAAGTTCCCGTCGATCATTTCGAATCAAATCAACATTTAAAGTAGCAACACCGAATCCAGAAACTAGTGATATGTCTCGCTTTTTTTCAACTTCTTTTGATGAATTATGCAGTTGGCTAATAGAAATTCTTAATACTGGTGTTATTATATCGATCGTTGATGTTAGTTGTGAATATAAAACTATTTGTCAACGGCGTAAAGAAACACTGAAACCAAACATGCTTCGCACATCATCAATTCAAAGTCGTCTCATTCATAGATATGGTGACATGCTGCACTTTGAGAAGCGCAGCAATAATGAAGTAAGTAAATTATATATTCATTTTTTTGAAAATATTTCTGAAAAAAAAATTTGGATAATTTTCTTTCACATACTTTAGGGTATTTTCGTTGGATTATCTGATCCCTCTGTTTATATACGATGTGCTTTGTCAAAACCTAGTATCTGGCAACGAGCAGATACTACTGATCCTCAAAGACAAGAACAATTATGTGAAAGATTTATAGATCTTATCGAACAACTTCGAAGCTCACTTAAAAATAATCTTCATATTATTAAATCCATAAAGTATGATGAATCTTCATTAGCTAACTTTGATTCTGATTTATACTGGGCATGTATACCTCTTTTATTAAAAAATTTTATTGGTATGTTGACATTGAACGATGATAAATTCTCCAAAATGAAAAACGAATATGAATTCTATGATATTCAAACAAAGGATCTTTTTAATAACTCTGCCAAATGGTTGAAGATAGCCTCAATTTGTTATGATTTAATATATACAAGTAGTAGTCATAATATTACTCCTAAACATTGTAAGTATTTGTTAAAGGTTGTTTATAAGCAATATTTGCCTTTTTATATATTTAGATTTACTTGGTAATGAACTTTATCGACATGGAAGATCGGAGCAATTATTGACTATCACAAATAGACTTGGTTATACCCCAAGTTACAAGTCGATTGTTCGATTACATACTGAAGCTGCAGAAAGATCACGAAAAGTACCAAGACCGTTTTTCTGTGCTGGTCAATATTCTAGTTCATTCGATCACAATTTTGTTGTCAAGGTAGCCGATAACTTCGACCTTAATCCTGATAGGTTACATGGAAATAACAGTATACACATTCTCAATCAAATAATTATATCAACACCAGAAAATAATGAACTTCCAATAGTAGTCGCTGAATGTCTCGATGATATAGTCCATAGAATAGTTAGTTCCAATATTTCTAGTACGGTTCGTATTCTTTTCTTTTCACTGTATTATCGATTTTGTAGCACAATTTTTTTTCTAGATTGCTTTCGTATCTATTATTGATGCTACTCCAATTACAACTTGCTCTTCTTTCTCCGACAAAATGTTCATTAATCAAGCACTTGATTTACCTATGTTAGCGTATTGTTTGATTAAATTCGCGAATGATACCACACGTGTCTCATTCAATTATCTTTCTCCATTGATACCTCGTTTAGTTCCAATTTTGTCAGGATTTTTTTCCACTTACTTGAATTTTGAAACAAGACCTCTACATCTCGTTTCATTTTTGACACCAATCACCGATGATCCTAGTTCAGAATCAGCAGCAAAAAAATGTCTTGAAGAAACGAAACAATTATTTATAGATTCCATGTATCAAAAAGAAGGTGTGGTTGTCGTTGACGAAAAAATTTATCGCAGTTGTATGAAGGTAACCATAAGTTTAAATGCATTTCTTTTTTTCTGTTCTTTTTTTTATAAACAGGTAAAATATCGTCAACCCGATGTCTTTAAAAATATTTTTATTTATCCTGGAGATTTCCATCTCATGAAAAATATGATGGTTGTTTTATGGAATTTACTTAAAGGATCAGGCATAGAAGATGTATTCGAAAATATTTACAAGGATGCAACTTTGTCGTCAGTTTTTGAGTAAGTTCACTTCCATGATTAATGATTATGGAGAATCAATAATAATTGTCTTTTATCGATTTAGAGTACGTCATTTTAATAGAAGTTTACGATGCTGTAAACTTTTATATACAGCATTGCATGTGCTATGTATTGAAGCCTTTTTCGATCAAACATCAATATCATTATCAACTTCTGATTGTATGAAAAATTTAAAGTCAGTGATGTTACAGATACCATCAGAATATGCAGCGGATGATATTTCTCAAAAATGGTTTGCGCAACTACTTCAAAAGATTGAACAAAGTGATTTTTCAACTTATTTTTATGCTTGGGCTTTTAATTCTAGTAAAGCTAACTCCACTTTTCGTTTATGGTACTTTATACTTCATCGTATTCTTAAACCTATTCTTCAATTATACATGTCAATACGTACATGTAATTTCGAAGCAAGAAATGCTGCATTATATCAGTTCGCCCCCATATTCTTCACAACAAGTCATCGTAATTATAGCCGGCTCGTGGCACAACACTTGTACGATTTACAATCAGCATCACCATATTTACTTTCACGCATGGCACGATCTTTTGCAGTAACTCGTTCACAAAGAAAGTTCTCTAGTAAGTTGAATTTGAATTTTTTTTTGAATGCAAATACGATAGTAATACAGGCATTGCTCTCGACCAAACAATTGAGTGCACTATTAATAAATATGGAAAGGGTTCGGGAGGTATCAATGGTCGACAAGATGAACAATCCATCAGTAATTGGACACACTCATTCGCTTTTCGATCACTTTTGTCTTCTACTCTTCACGAAATATGTGGTGTTGAAACACATCGTAATTCCATTGATTCACACATAGAGTGTTCACCAAATAGGAAAGCTGTTGATGACCAAGATTTATCTATTATTGTGAAATCACTTCGTAATGAAAATATATTCACAAGTACAAATAAAAAATGTCACAAGATTTTATCAGGACTTATCATACATGATGATATTATTGAAAACATCACGTCATCATATGAACGAGGTGAACAATATTTATCAATCTATATTAATGAGCGGCTCGTACACAAAAAAGTTCCTATCGACGCGCCACTTAGAACTACACCGTCGCTCAGTAACTGTCTACGACAATAAAGAGATAGAAAGGACAACTAAAATATTTTTTGTTTTTCTAGAACTGAAGGATGCTAATACTTATGTACCTAACATCGATGGTCAATTGAATAATAAACGTGGGGTACTTGCAAACATCAAAGATTACAATCATTTGGCGAAAATTGCAGACCATGAAATTCGTCGTATAGTTCTCATAGCACAACAAAGAAACCTAAAACCATTATCTCAATTTTTTTCTTTTGAATTTTCTCCTGTTCCTCTATCTCTTTGTGATAATCAAAATATAGATTTACTTAATCAGCAGACAAAAGCAACGGTTATTGACATTTTAAATAACAATTTTTCATCATCTTTTTCGTCCTCATGCTCAATCTCGACTAGTCAAAGTGCTATCGTAATTGATGGTCGTATTTTATTTGAAACAAAACCAAACCCTGAAGTAAAAACAATAAGAGATTATGCAATTCAATTGTTGGAAAATGATATAAGAGATTTATTTTATATACATGTAAATTTATTTTTTTTATTTTCTATACTGGTTTTGGTTTTTCTAGGATCGAATTGACGTAATATTTGACCCAATGAAAGAGAAGAACCTGCAACAATTTAGTAAGATACAAGACCATCGTTGCGAGAAAAATATTTATCAGCTAAGAGGTGATGACAAAATTGAAAAATCATTCAAGAAATTTGTTCAATCTAACCCAGTCACTCTTGCACGATGTATATGTACTTGTTGGATGGAATCTGAATTGATTCAACGTTTACCACCAGGGCGTCTACTTGTAGTAGGTAGACCTGATTTAACAGCTGTAAAGTTGAAAAAAGGAGATGCTCCTGAACCAGATTATCTTCTAGAAACAAATCAAGATCAATCTCGTACGAGAATCTTATTACATACAAACTCAATTAGTTTAGATCAATACCAAAAGAAAGTCTTTATCAACACGACAGAGTAAGCTACTCAATTGATTTTGTTACAAAATGAAGGATAATATAAACTGAAATTTCATTTACTATTTAGTACTGATATTGTTTTACTTGCGATTGCATTTGGCTCCAGTATCATTCTTCAGCATCTTGTTATTAAATTAATGAATATTCGAACACAGAAAATTACTTACATTGATGCTAAATCTATTGTATCTAACCTTCGCCAATCAGCTATCGATCCAATATGTCTTCTTGTTCTTCATGCACTTTCTGGATGTTCTGCCACGTCATTCATTAGGAATATCACAAAAGAAAAGGTTTTCAGTTGTTTCTTCAATAATCCACAGCAATATGCTTCTATTAATAAATTAAATTGTATTCCACCACCTAATGAATCTATTGCTGCTTGTGAACGGCTAGTTATTAATTGCTATTCTTTTGGTAAAGCTGTAAGATCACTTGATGAACTTCGTGCAGTTAGTAAGTTCAAGAATTATTTGTTTGTGGATATTAACTTTAACATAGCGTATATTTATTGTGTTTTTTATTTAGTGGCTGATATTCGTATCAAAAATCGAGCTCGTACTAACATCGCTTCATCTTTACCACCATCAACAGCAGCATTTAAACAACATTGCCTAAGAGCTGCAAGGCAAGTAAAAATATGGATTGATTGTTTTGATTCTTACCCGATAGCACCATCAATGCTTGATTCTGGATATGAAAATACTGATAGTGACAGTAATTATAAAATTAAATGGACTGACCTTCCTGAAAAACCTTATGATCCTCGACTTGATTCATGTGGTGAATGCAAATCGAATTGTAATCGTTGTAAGTGTCGGAAGAACAACATCCCTTGTACGTTTTATTGTAAATGTGATGTTAGTTCTTGCACCAATCAGCCAAGTGCTCAAGTGAGTTTAAACATCGATTAGTTTTATTATATTTTGTATTTTTTTTTATGAAGACCATGTCATTAACTCAAAATGATTCAATTTCTTATAATAATGCTGACCATGAACATTCAGCTGATGAATCTCAAAAAAGTGATAATTATTACAGTGATACATCGTTTATATCACAAACAAATTCAATTTATTATCAGGTCAATTCTTCATAATATTCACATGAGTTTTTATTTACATTTTCCTCTTTTAGACTGATGATTCAGAAGTTGATACTGATAATGAAAACGAAAACGAAAATTATAATAAATTTAACTTCAATAAATCGATCATTAATACATCAGTAGTTGCTTCGGAAAATGATCCTAATTTTTCAATACTTCATGATCATAATTACTCATTTGGTGTTGTTCAAATATGTCATCTACTATATCAACTATTGTTTGTAGTTAAAGAAATCAAAATTGAAGTTATTTGGAACATACAAATATTTTATTAAACCGAAGTAAATGAATTTGTAAGTATATCATTAATCTGTGGACATACTTGTTGTATATTATTATTACAGACTTTCATAACGACAGCATACTTAATGTTTGCAGTACACCAAAACGACAACGAACATCATCATCCAATTCGGTATCAAGTAGTAACATGTTTTAAAAAAGTCACTTTCTTCTTTTTCAGAGCATCGCTAATAATTCAACCCCATATTCATCTATGTTTCTCCACTCGACACCTAAGACACAAATTAAAACAAACGTTTTCTCAACACTACTTGTAAGATTAGTTTTTGGATTGTATATTTTTGTTTCTGCTACACTTCTCATTTAGAAAACGCCGTTACCACCAATTAAATCAAGAGCTCGACCATCAATTGGCTTCAGAAAGAACTATGGAATGAAACTAAAATACAATTCAGACAAGACATGATTTTTTTTCATTTTTTTTTGTAATTTTGTGTTATTAATTTATATATTTATTTACTGTAGTATTTTTGGTGATTAGAAAAAAATATTTTAAAAATAAATTTCAAGGATGACGAGGATCATCGGAACTAAAAAATAATTTTAATTCATGTGAAAATGGAGTTACGAAAGGATTATCAATCAATGACTATATTGTACAGAAGGGATTATATTCTATTACGAATTGCTGCTATATTGAATTAGCCAATCAGAATGCTAGTGGCTCGATTGGTCACAGTTTTTTGGTTGTTTTGGGGTGTGTGCCATTTTATTTTGGAAAAATAAAATCATGGTTCGATTTAGCATAATTTTCTCTACCGATCAGAGTATTTTAAAAGTTCGGCCCATTCCGTCTATTTTAGAGGGCGCCATAGGTAGTGCATTTGATGTTGATTTGTTTAAAATGTGCTCTTTTTCTGCTCTGTCCGTTGACTATATGTTTGTTTGTGTCAGGGTCAAAAGAACATTAGGGTCAAAAAAACATCCGCTTCTACATAAAACTTGACCAAGGGGTAATCGAGGGTGGAGAATTCGAATCTGAGGTCAGTTTTAATTAATTATTAACTAATTATTAACTGATTATTAATTAATTATTAATATTTTGTATAAAACTTGACCAAGGGGTAATCGATGGTGGAAAATTCGAATCTGAGGTTAGTTTTAATTAATTAATAATTAATAATTAATTGATTATTAATTAATTATTTATGATTCACATTTTGTATAAAACTTGGCCAAAGGGTAATCGAGGGTGGAGAATTTGAATCTGAGGTTAGTTTTAATTAATTATTAACTACTTATTCCCTCGGCTGCAGGGAGGGTCATATGAAATAAAATAAGGTTGTATGCGTCTGTGTTTGTGTCAGGGTCAAAAAAATATCTGCTTTGAGGAAATTTTCGATATGTGGCGTTTCAACAATCGGACTCTTTATGCCGAAAATCCAGCCAATCAGGGGTTTTCGATATTGGGCTTTCAGCCAATCGGATTTTTTCATGCCAAAAATCCAGCCAATCAGGCGTTTTTTGACATTGAGCTTTCGACCAATCAGATTTTCACAGACAGGAAGTCCAGTGAGTCATGTTTTCGCTGACCGAGTCTTGTCCAATAAGGTTTTTGCGCAAGAGCTTCAGCAATGAAATCTTCTCACTCTCTTGCTCTGACCCAATGAGATTTTTACGAAGCTGAGGTTTGTGTGAGTGAAATGTTTTCGCGATTTCGCTTTGTTCAACCAGTTTTTTTCAGCTGGAAGCTGAGTTAATCAGATTTTTTTATTGTACGGCTCAGCTGCAATCAATTGTTGCAAGACTGGGAGAAGTCGGTACTTATAGCGGTCTAGAAGTTTCCTTTCTCCTTTGTTCACAGGTAGCTATGCCTTGTAGAACATCGATTTTTCAAAAGCTCTGGCAATTAAAACTGTAAGGAACAGATTACAAGAAAGTATGATTTTTGGAACTTCTGACCTAAAATTTTTTCGTTATAAATACAACAATGTTTTACAGTAAGCCAAACGTGACCCGACTAGAATGCGAAGAAAAGAGGGTGATTTACTGGGAATGTTGGTTTAAGCATGAAACCGGCTAACCATCAGTGGCGCCGACGAACGACTAGCCCGTGATCTGGCGGGTTCGCCGAAGGTACACCTTGGGTCGGCGGAATTTATATAAAATTGCTCGTTGATCAAATCTCACCGGTTGAAAGTGTCTGGAAATTGCGAAAAACTCAGTGCGGTAATATGAGTTTTGATCCTCGATAAATGGACTGGAATAAGGAGTTACGAACCAAGAATAGCGATAATGACAGGCACAGGGCTGACGTTGTAGCTTCAGACGGAAGAAGGTCTTGCAGAAAAATGCGAATAAAATGTATGTTACTGCGTGCAATGGTTAGGAACATTAACAATTTGTCAAAAAATCACAGAGCGAAAGGATTCAGAAGAAAGTGAAGGACTGTTTAAAACCATACTGGTGTCATATACGAAAGCGAGCAGTCGCGAGTGGTGGCTCGTATTGACCACGGCGACAAACTGTGAGCTGCCTCTTACGGTTAAATTTGGAAAATCCGAGGAGAAAATTGAAAAGCGAAATCTTTTTAGAAAGTGGTCATCTCCTACAATAGTATGCGGTTTTTTTCATACATGTATGTGTATATAACAATAGTTTTCACAACGAAATCTAGAAGGTAATGATAGATAATGAATGCACGGGATTCAGTCGATGGCTAAGCGAGTCGTAACGACGAGCGTTACTTGTGATTTATTTGTTTACCTTATTTATATTATTTTTTTTCCTCACTTATTTTATATCAACTTGTTTAATCTTCTTTTCTTTGGTCTTTATAATGTCAGATAAATTTGTTCCATATCATTTACGTGATATTAACAATCATCCAGCTCATTTCGATGACAATCAAAAATCGAATTGGATATGTACTGCAAAAAAGGCGAAGAAAAATTATCAATATCAACAACAATATCCAGCATTTGATATACCAACATCATTTTATGAAATTATATATGTAAATAAATATACAACAACTGAAACACGCAAAAATTAATTAATCATGGACGAAATTGTAATGAATTTACATTTGATACAGAAGGTGAAAAATTGAACAAGCAATTAGCATTAATTTAGATTCAAACAATATCTCAACAATTACAATTTCTCGTCGTATTAGTAGAATTAGCACATTTACCATCACATGATACATTAATTTATGTCCAAATTAAACAATTATTTCGATTGATATTTCAATCAGAAAATCAATTATATTCGTGGAGACCACTAAGAGAAGACATATATCCGGCTGTGAATAATGAATTGTTCGAGTGGCCTATTAAATCATCAATATTGGATATTCAACTTAAACTTAATGAATGGTATAACTGGGCTCTATCTCACTGCGAGGTAAGTAGCCCGTCCTTACTTCAGCAAAATTTTCGTCATGATGACGTTAATTCAAATACAAATATTAAAGTACTCTCAAAATGTACATGTCATGATACAAGTCTTTATTGTCCTGGAGAAAAATGGGGACTTTAAGAAGCCTTAATTTACACCTGTCAAAGGTTTATTGATAAATCAATGACAGTTAATCATTGGGCAAGAGGATTAGATCCATATCATTCAACATTATCAACAACAACACGAGAAAAAAATGCTACGTTATGCAATTTATGATTGTTTTTCCACAACATATGTAACCCGTCCAGTTTTAGAAAATTAGACATTTCAAATGTTAATAAATACTAATATTGTTGATCTATTTCAGGCATCATCATCTACATCACCATCATCATCATCATTACATCAAGAAAATAACAAAATCAAAAATACCAATATTAATCAACAAATTTTTAAAAATGTTATTGACAATGATATTGAATCAATCTCTGGAGATAGTGATGATGAAATAACAGTTAATCAATGTAGTAAAATTACTATTAATAATGATATATTATATGAAGTAATTTCAGATGATGAAAATGAATTAAATGAGGCATTACCATTCAATAATAATAATGATGCATTATATGAACCAATATCCGATGATGATGATTATGAATCGAATATGATGTTACAGGTTAATAATGATGAACTAAATGTCAACAACCATTCTATGGTTGATGATGACAAAAGTAATGAACAATGTGCCCCGGTGAAACATAAATCATATCATCACAGCCGATCAATTGAAGCAAGAAGAAGAAGTCGTAAAAGGAATAATGTATTTCGACGACGATTTCAATATGTTATGACACGTCCAGTTTATCCAAGATTCACAATGAAATCAATCAGAAAAATTCTTCGCCGATATGATATTTCGTATATACACATTAAAATTGAACAAGAATTATTAATTATCGGTGCTAAAAATAATAAAATTAAAGATCAAAATAAACTAAAATTACCAATCAACACATTTTGTCGACACAACTATTATGCATTTCGTCGTCTCTCTCAAGTTTAATAAGAACATTAACTTTTTTTGTTTTTTGTATTTTTTTCTTCTCCTGTTATTCTATATGTGATATTGTCAGATATTTTTTCATTATGTATTGTTCGTTCGTTTTTTTCCTTCCTTCTTTTTTCTTTCTCTCTTTTTTTTGGTTTCTCTTTCTTGCTGATTTTTTGCCAAAAAGAAGAAGTGTTTTTGTGAACAAAAAAAACTTTTTCTTGTCCGGGAAGGGTGTTATGTCCGATATCTATATTGTTGTTCATTTTTTCTTTCTACATTTCTATCGTTTCTTTTTTAGTGTACTCAAAAAGTGAGTACACTACTAAAATCGGTCTGTGTGTCCGTCCGTCCGGCCGTTAACACGATAACTTTCGACAGGAGAGTCAGATTGCGATGAAATTTTCTACACAGCTTAGTCTTGACAATATCTCGGTCGAGTTCGAAGATGAGAAGGATCCGCCAAGAAATGGCTGAGTTATCGAAAAAATTGTGATTTTTGACCAGACC